CGTGGTTCCTAATTATGATGTAAAGATACACATTTGTATCTAATTAGGACTTAGATTGATTGTTGGATAGGGACAATGTTTCAATTCGCGATAACACTCCGATACAAGTGTTTAGAGGGACCCGGGTGGTGTTTAGGGACATGAATGATACAAGGGACTTGGGAAATGAGTTGGGACATCAAAGGAACACTACCCTTATGGGAGTTTACGGCCAAAACACCCATCCCCATGAGTTTACGGCCGTAAACTCATGATGGGTGGTTTATGGTGTAAATTGGACTTCCAACACTTAGGGAATAATTTCTAGACTTGGTTTAAGGACTTGGAATGATTACAAAACATCAATTAGACCCCCTTTATGGGAGTTTACGGCCTAGCATAGCTCCAAGGCCGTAACCCCCTATTTGTCCAAGAAAATGATGTTAAATGGTGCTAGAACAAATCACATGTGATTGGTAGAATTAATCCAAGGCCTATCATGAGTTTGTAAGGGACTTTTGGGGTGTTTATGGAGTTTACGGCCCATGATACCCCCTTCATGGCCGTAAACTCTTCTATAGAGGGTTACAAAGTGTTTCAAGGTCTAAAACTTGTATAGAAGGACTTCTAAAATTCATCTAAGGGCCTTAGGGGTGTGTAGTTTGCATTCTAACACCAAGAATTTTGGAGTTTACGGCCCAAGAACAAGCCTTGGCCGTAAACCCTTAGAAATCTCACAAATGATGTGTTTTAGGCCCTCAAAGTATTTTTGGTTGGTCCCTTGATTTATTCCAAGGCTTTTGGTGGTGTTGGATGGCTTTCTAACACCTTAGAATTGGATTTATGTCATGTTTTGGGGAGTTTACGGCCCAAGCACTCTCCTTGGTCGTAAACTCATCTAAATCCCCCAAAATTCATGTTTCAAGTGTCCAAATGCTAGAATCAAGGTCCTATAATTCATATCTAGGCCATAGAAGTGATTTGGAAGGGTTTAAGGGCATGAAAACCCTAATTATATGAGTTTACGGCCCAAGAATGATCCTTGGCCGTAAACTCCTTCAAACATCACAAAATTCAAGTTTTTCATGTTTAGATTCCATATCTTGAAGTCCCATAGCCTTATCTAAAGTCCAAACTAGTCAAGGAAGGGTTTAAGGGCTCAAAACCCATCATCTTTGGTGTTTACGGCCTAGGCACCTTCCTGGGCCGTAAACTCATATATATTATCCAATTTCATGATTAAGTGTCTAATTTGGAAGCTAAACATGCTATAGATTGAGGCTAGGAAGGTACCTTAAGGATTTGAAGCCTGAAAATTGAGTTTTGGACCCTTAATCTTTGGATTTTTGGAGAGAGGTTAGAGAGAGAGTAGTGAGAGAAGGAAAAGCTTCAAATGAAAGCTGAAAAACGTTTATATAGTTCCTAAAATTTGCACGCGGTGGAATTCTACCCGATACCGATGCTAAACGCGGCTTTTGGTCGCACCCGATTGAATTTCCGTCACCCGACGGGAACATTTTAAAAACTCATGAAATAAATGTTTTTGGGCTAATAACATAAGTTCCTGAGTGATTTGGACACTCATTAGGATAAAATAAACATATAAGTTTATACAATTAATTCCAAAGAGAAAACGGAACGAATCCGATAACGGCGACTTTCCGGGTAGAACGGGTTTTGGCGACGAACAAATTTCGGGTTGTTACACAATATTTCATAATCATAAAGGCACAATTATGGCCCATTTATGGACCGATTTTCCAAATTGGGTCCAAAATCACACATCGGCCTTATCCTAAAGTCCATCCATAAATTCTTAGTCCATTTGATTGTTCTTGGATGGCCCATCAATAGCCCAATGACCAAAGCCCAATAGAAAGGCCCAACTCAAAGCCCAAGTGAAATTAGGGTTTTCACATAAAATGATGATTAGGGTTAAGTGTCTCTTACTTAACCCATTAAGGACTTAATCCGTTAAGTCCATCAATCTATTGGGTAAATCATATAATGTGGTCGGCTTAATACATAATCCCAATATGGTCATCCAAAATGCGGGTCCAACAATCCAAAGCCCATATATTCAAAATTATGGTTTTCTAAACCCTTATTAAGGTTTCCAACCCCTTACAACCCAATTAGGCCCAAAAGATAAGTCCTTAGGCCCATTAGGGTTCCATCAGGACAATTAGTGTTTTCCCAACTCGGGCACCACCCACTACCACCTCAGGTAGTGATGGTCATCGGCGGCTCACGGCGGCGGTTATGGTTCTAGTCCAATTTGTCCAAGCATCCCAAACGAAATCTAAACACAAACTAAGCATACTGCTACCCAACACGGTGGCTGGAGGCGGAAGCCACCACCTTACGGTGGTGGTTATGAGTTTTCTTTTCATTATTTCATCACTGACTACAATATACAACACTAAATCCCAAAATAAACACATGCACAAATTGATAAACACACACACCCATCCACCCTTGTGGTGGCCGGCGGTGATACATGGTGGCAGCCACCACCTCACAGTGGTGGTGGCCTTTTCTCAGTTTTCTGGCTAAATGAAACTACATACACGCACACACAAAAGATGTCTCTTGCTAGGGAATGAACACAACCTCCCACCTCATGGTGGTGTACGGAAGACCCGCAGCTACAATAGCGCCTACAATCGATGTTATCGATGGCGGATGGATCAAGAAGGTGGCCACAGTTGGGACTACAATCTTGGTCTTCAACGGAACGGGCAACAAAGGTTCACGATGTTCAATAACCAGCAAAATCGCTATGTGGCTTTGGTGGTTCGGTGACTACGAAACTGTAGCCAGGAATGTCTTCGTTGGAGGCAACATCACATCATCTCTTTAGCCTCTTCTGCCATGACATCCAACCACCGGTTCATCAATCCTTTAATCATCAATGGCACTGAGGTGGCGCAGTAACATAGACAATGGTTAGAAGGCAGCGGCGACCTCAACAACGATGGTGGTGCGCGCCAGAAGTCGAGGAAGTGAAGATGGCGGCCATCTCATGGTTGCTTGCCGTCGTTTGTTGATCGGAAACGAGTTGGAGTCGGGTGGTAACAACGCCGAAGACGAAGGGGGGGGGGGGTATAAGGTGGGGCGGCTGTAACATGGCTCGTAGGGTTAGGGTTTATCGGGGGTGACGGGTATATATATGCATCGTCCAATTTCAAAAATTGTACATAATGACAAGATTAGTCACTCCCTTCTCTTTTTCTTTCAATCTTAGCCCATAATTTACCATTTAAACCCCACCTACTGAAATCCCTTACAAACCAAGTCTGAAATTTACCAAGCAGCCCCCCCCCCCCCCCCCCCTCTACAAATTGTTTTCAGTTTAAGTCCTTATGTTACCAAATGGCCCGTCCTCTACCAAAGCCTTTTCAACTTAGATCCAAAATTTACTCTTTAGCCCCTGCTTCCATAAATCTTTTATATTAAATCCCATACTTACCAAAGACACCTGTCTTCTAAAAAACTTTACAAAATAAATCCTGGAACTTACACTTTTAACCCCAACTTCTTAATTGTTCTAGTTAACACCTTGAAACCAACACATTGTTATAAATTATTGATTTTAGGACTACTATTCATTTATTAATATGTTTATTTATTTATTTAATAAACGGGGTGTTACAGCCTCACATAAGCGATGTTGTAGCTTTACACGAAATTTAGCTCCAAGATCAGGTTTGCATATTATAGTCAATGAAGGTTCATATACACTGTCATGTTGGAAATTTTTTACCAAAGTTAGTTTACATAAATTAGCAGGAAAAGGGCATCATTTTGAAGTACACATTTCTAAATGTCTATCTCGTTTTCGGATTGGTGTTGTGGACACTCTAGATATTATTGAAATTTTGTTTTACCAAAGGAACATGGAATTCTAAGACCATGTTATGAGTTATTTCACATATATTAGGCAAAGTAATGATCTAGACTACAATTCTTAGGTCTTATACTAAAACCATACCTTGTTCCAAATAAGTTCATCACATTCTAAACTAGGGTTTAACAATCCATGTTGCAATTTTTTAGTTTCAAAAGCTACAACAATGAAAGAACACGTTAAGAAAACACCAACTTAGTGGCAATACCAAAATAGCTTCATCATATGGGGAATTTTTTGTAATTTTAGAGACTCCATAATGCTATGTGGTGGGTACCACATTTTCAATACCTTTTAATATGGGTGTAGACACAACCGTTGGGTAATGGTCTGGAATAGTCTGAATTCGAGTACCGAATAACTTATTTTGAACATGTTTATAATACAAATAAAAAAATTGGTTAATTTAGCTAATAATAAAAAATGGTCTTTTTGCCGATATCATTTTCTAACATATATTAATATTTAATTAAATCCAGTGATATATAAACCTGTTCGAAATTTCGAGAAGTTTACATATCTTTCCCACGAATTCGTTCATACCAAGAATCATGCATATGTAACAATATACCGTGTATTTTATTATATATATATATATATATATATATATATATATATATATATATATATATATATATATATATATATATATATTAAAGTTGTTGCTCCTTAGCTACAGTAGCGTTGATGACATTTTAACATGTTTAGTCCACATATTTGCTGTGTATCACAATTAGTCCAGTTGTTCATCCAAATTGCAATTTGATCATTCTGTTCAATGTCACCGGTTTTTTTTCCTAGATTTGTCTCCTTGGGTTGAGAGCCCTCCTGTACACGTGATGGCATTGGGATATCCATTGTCTACGTGTTTTCCATTCGACCTTCTCTCTTCTCTACTCATCGATTCTCCTATAATCCACCGCTCCTTTCCTCTAATCATTCAACTCCACCGCCATCGCATATGAGTTCCAGAAATAGCGGGATCGATTTTGCATTCCGCCTCCTTCTTCCCGACTCCCTTAGTCGCACCCTGTATTATCTCTAAAATCCTCAATCTACACAAACGGAAGTTACATATATATTTTCTATCATAGCGCACACTGTTGTTCTCGGTGAAGTCGGCACCACTATCTACTCCAATTCTCGCTATCCGCTTAAGGTTTCACAAAAGCTTTGAATAGCGTTCTTTCTTTGTGTCCTCTTCATTTGTCACTCACCACCGCACACCACCTAATCCTTGGTGCAATTGTGTAACTGTGATGTCGTATGCTCGAAAAAAACCGTTTCTTTCTCTTATTCATGACTCCTATGACTGAAAGAGAGGCATCTATGGCCCCGTCATTTAACCCTAAAATGCCCTAAAAACATGGTTCACAACAGGTGAGTTTTTGTATAAGTTTTGTACGTTCAAATATCTATTACCTATGTAAACTTCAACCAAATCTTACTAATTTTAAACAGACTGCAACATAATCGATTTGGGGATCCATTTGGAAAGTCATCTGAAGCAGCACTTGCTGGAGCAAAGTCGAATGAACAAATGTAACCTCAGCCACGTACCTTTTTACCCTTTCTTTACCTTTAATAAACGATGTTTTCTATCACTTATTTTGTGTTCAAAATCTTAATGATGATAGCTTCTGTTGTGCAGGCAACCCAGTCGATTAGAATACACTTAATTACTTTTGTTGGTATCTAATTTATATTCTTGGAGTTGGTGTTGCGCAAGAAAAGAAATTAAGCGACGAGAATAAAGAACTGAATCGGCAGGTAAATATGTATATATCTTTATTAACTTACATGAAAATTGCAAAGATTCTACGCACTTAATTGTTGCCATGGATAAACAAATGGAAGAAGTGATGAAATGTTGACTTACAGTTACAAGTGGCATCAACAGTAAACCAACATTGTCCACATTTGGAGGTGGTGGTTGAAGGTTGGGTTTTGAGGTAAATCCATTTCAAAATTACTTACACATGTAATTTGTTCTTAATGTTGTTATAAATCCATAGATTAGCATTATTGATTATAATTCATAATTTAAATTGCATTTATGCATTTAAACTATGATTAGGAAACTTTAAAGAACATTAGGTTCAGTAAGTGATCCTAAATACAATCAAATTTTAAGGGTGTAGTTTGGGAAATCAACAAATAAAGAGAATTTTTATTAATGCAGGGGTAGTAGGGACATTTTAGTCATTTTTATTAATTACTCTGTTATAATACATAGTATAAGAGGGTTTAGCTTATCTACAAAAATAAAAGTAAAAAACTAATATTAGACAATGAACCATCATCTTTTATGGGTATTTATTAGTATTTTTTAATTATTTGTTTTTTCCAAGTGTATAAATAGAATTTATGCATATTGCTGTTTCTATTATTTTGCTTTTAAGTAATTATTGCTTTGGAATAACTTGACGATGGAAACCAGGACCACTTTGCTAGACTTTACAATGTAGTCTTTATTTAATTTCTTTCTACACATTCAACATTGAAAGCCATTGTAGTTCTTTACTCAATAAGATAAGGTGTATTTAGCCTCAATGTTTTCGTGGTCGAGATTGTGACAGAAGGAAAACAAGATTCTTTAACCTTGAACACTATTACATACCAATTACCTAATTTAGACAACTATCTATCACTTTGTTATTTATTCAGTAACATTCATGACACAAATCCATTGACCAGAACTCTGTAAAATAGGTGCTTAACGAAATAATCAAAGAGGTATGTGTAGTTATGCCCTTGGTAACATTTCATTCCATTTTTCATATATTTACAGTGGAAATACAAAAGATAAGCTTGGTGCAGTGACCAGTAGAGCTAAAGAAGGTAAAGATCCAAATTTTATAAGCAAGAAAGAAGAATCTTTGAAGAAGAAGTCAAAGATTGGTGGTGAAGAAAAAATAAACAATGATCAGGAAGCAGAACATGCGAATATTATGAGGTCTCAGATACATCTTTTTTTGAGGGAATTTTCTTTTTGAAAGATCTCAAGTTGAGTGTAAATTGGGTGTGACCGGTTGGAAGGAAATTTTGAAGACTAGGAACATGGGTGTCTACTATTCCGCATCTGTTACCTCAACTAGCATTCAATGGTGAATTTAAGATGCAATTTTTCAATAGAAATTATCACATTACAAAATTTCAAAAGTACACATCATTCAATAATAGATCTCATCAAAATTACAAAAGTACATATTCATTCGATTGGTTTCTTTTTCTAATATAGTATAGAACAATATTATATTTTCAGATAGCTTCTTGATTTATCTTTTTTTTTTGTTGCCTCCAGGAATCATTTACATATTTACTGGAGAGAATTTCTCAGGAGCGAACGTTTTGAAATTAGGTACATATGGCCACTTTCAAATGCTCAAGTCTGTTTACTACTTTCCACAACTACTGATAGTGTTACAGCATCTTGAAGCCCATGTATCAACATTTTATATAATTTTACAATTTAACCTTATTATTTTTTAGTTGATGTTGTTTACATATAAATAATTGACTGTGTTCAGTTTTTTTTAACATGATGTTACATAGGCCGTATTTTTTTTGGAAATACCCACTGCCCCCACCTACGTTCCTCTACCAAACAATGAAATCCTAAAGAAAATGGAATCTTATGTAAGCTTTTAATGTTTTTTTCAACCCATTTGGATTTCAGTTCAAAAGATGGAAATTAATGTGTGTTGTTTAATACAGGGTCTCATGAGGCATATCGACTTGAAGTTGCTTTTTGATATGAAAAATGGTTGCAACTTGGTAAAAAAAAAACATAATTATTTTTGTCCAATCACAAAAAGACCATATTACCCTTTCAAATGTGGCTTTATTACACCCAAATTTTTTTTTTTAATTGACTAAACAAAATCGAAGTCCACTCTTTCAGGTGAAGTCAACTCTCGTTCAATTCTTCTTTTTGTCAAGACATTCAAGCAAATGTAAACTGTAGGGATGATCCAATAGTTGGGTAGTTTCATGAGCTTAATATCATAATGGGGTATCAGAAAAGGGTAATTGGTGCTCGCAATAGTTAGATGGATATTTTGGTCTCTTATTTGTAGATAGCTCGGTCAATTTAACTTTTTTTTGCTTTTTTTTATCCATTTGGTACTTTATTATAAAGTCTTTCAATTAATTGAAGACCAACATTTAAATTTGTTAAAATAATAGTACCAATATCTTTTTTTTTGTCCAGATATATATCTTTTAGATTTGATCTAAAAATGAAATTATTTGCATTTTTGATCCTTGTGGTTTTATTCTCTAATCCTTTAGTTATGTATTCTAAATTTTAGAAATTTTAGCGAACATATGGATATAATCTACGGTAAGGTAAAAAAGCTCATTGCCTATATTAGTAATAAAACAAAAGTATTTTTTTATTGTTGGCAATTTATCCTTGTTGCTGGAAGTCAAGAAATATCCGATCCTGCGTGGAAACACCTTATAGTTATTATTATTTTTTTGTTTTGTATACTTATATATAAATGAGATATTGGAAATTTGGAATAAATGAAACATGTGGATGGGGCCGAACTACTGGACTTTGTCATTAATCAGAAGTTCATCAATCATCACTCATTAGATGTATTTAAACTCTTTCGAATTTGGGCCTTCAACCAAAGTCCATGAGACGCAACAAACAATGACACGTTGAATTTATTAATTTCTCTATTTATTTATTATTATTTATCTAATGAATAAAAAAATTAATAGAAACGAACGTAGGACGTAGGAGGAGGATTAATTGTTTTTTTGAAAAGAACTTATTTTGTTAATCCGTAAAAACTACTAATATCCTTTTTCAAATAAAAAAAATAAGTTGATTTTTTTTTTTATCATTTATCACCCTATTAAGTTTGATAATTGATGTCATGTTACATGTCAATACAGATATTAACCAACTCAACGGTAGGTTAATATTTGGTCGGGTAAACACATTTTTAATGATAAATATGCGGTAATTTTTAGGTTGCATGTATATTGTCAATTCTTATTATCAAAATTTATAGTTTATATGCTTATAATGCGGGTATTGGCCGATCCATAGGTAGACTGATATTTGATCGAACAAACATATATGTGGTGCTAAACATGTGATGAATTTTTTTCGTTCCATGTGATTAATAAATCAATCCAAAGAATGTCTTGTTAATTGACATGATTTATTGTCAATGTTTATCTCTAAAACAAGGATATCCATTGTAAGTGTAACATCCCGAGATTTGTCAGGTATTCTCGAACCCTCTCCTATAATTACCTTGTCATTTATAGTCATTGGGGTTGGAAGTGAAGAACCAAGATAAGTTTAAGATCCATGTTTGCAAACATGGGCCAATAGGGAGTACGTTGCGCGTACATAAGAGTACGCTAAGCGTACTAAGGTCTGGCTTAGTACGCTGGGCGTACACTTGTGTACGTTAGGCATACTAATGTCAAGGTGAAACCCTAATTTTAGGGTTTGGGGCCTATATAAGCAACATTATGAGCATCAAAACCTCCCTTACCTCAGCATCTAGAGATTATAGTTGTCTTCCCCAAACCCTAGCATTTCCTTTGTGAGTTTAAGCTTATTAAGTGTGTTCTTTAGTGCTTTAAGAGGAAGGTTTTGCATCAAAGTGTTGGAGAAGATTATTAAGCTTGTAGATCAAAAATTAGTTCATACTCAAGAAGCTCCAGAAGGTATAAAGTTCCAAACTTTATGCATTTATGTATAGATCTTCCCATTCTACTTTTATAGAACCATTTCTTGTCCCAAAAGCAATAACTTGGTACATGTTGTGTTTGGATGAAAAGGGATGTCATTCTAGACTCTTGAAGGGACCTGGAGTGATAAAAATGAGTTCCCACTAGCTGTATGTGTCCCATGCATGAAAAAATAAGGTCTTATTGGATTAAGACCAAGCATTAAGAACTTTATGGACGTCCAAAGTGATAAACTTCATGACTTTATGGATCCTAGGCATGTTAGGTCTCTGGTTCTGAAGTTTGGGTTTAAGTGCTTAAGCCAAGAAGCACTTAATAAGGTTTTGGCAAATTATCTAGTACGCCCAGCGTAAATCCAGTACGCCCAGTGTACTGGGCCAACTACCCTGATGGTGGTCAACATCTGGACAAGTACACCCTGTGTACCAAAGGAGTACGCCCTGCGTATGTCCTCTGTTGGGCCTTTGACAAAGGGGCTTTATGTTGTGGACTGTTTATGGACTAAATGAAATTGCGCCTTCGCTGGACATTGTAAATAAGATATTTTGGGCCAGGTAGTGATAGTGGATCATGAGGTTAGGCCCAATTAAGTGGTTGGGCCCAATTTAGTAAATTGGGCTAATTATGGGCTTTATATATGGACTTTCAAGTCAAGGACTGGGTAATTTGGCCTTGTCCCAATAAAGAGAATTGACTTAATGAATGGAGTTTAGTCAAGAAGGTTATTTTGGGTATTAACTTAGTGTTTATTGTGTAATAGTTTGGGATTCCCAGTGAGACATGAGTTAGAGATTTACAGTATTTCAACGCTACTTGCGAGGTGATTTATCCTCACTATATCAATAGGGTCAAAGGCACTAAGGCCGGCTCTTTATGGATTTGTATCCGGATTATAGCATGATATGTTTATTGGTTACATACAGGTAGTTAGGATGGTGTAATCTTATGCTTAGGGACCTGGTTAGGTTGGTTTCCTGGTTATAGGATGATGTTTTGTTAGTGACCGGTTAGGTTTGTATCCCATTATTGGGATGTGGTTAGATCCGTTTGACTATTATTTGATATCAGCTAGTGTATGATATTTATGTGCACATGTTGTTTGTGTCACACCACCAAACCAAGGATGGCGGAAACGTCCGAGGGTGGAGGACTTCAAGTATAGTATCATAACCACAATTGCAATAGTAATTCAAGCAAGCACAACCAACATATATATAATTGAAAGAGTTACATTAGTGTATGAATTGCATGTTTCCAAATCAATTACAATATGTTGACAAAATATGAAATATTGACGCCTTAACGTCCCATCCTCAAAATGCACTTTGATATCTATTTAGTGATTTCCTAAGAATACAAGTTGTTTGAAAAAGTGTCAACACAAAGGTTGGTGAGTTCATAAGATTTTGTTTTGAATTGATAAAAGTATTTCTCTTGTCAATGTAATGTTTGTTCCAGAAAATCCGATATTTTCCTTAAAATGTGTAATGTAGTCTTATATCTAAAGACCGAATGTATAAGTAACCTTTCTTACTTATAGTAAATAATGCAAGCTTAAATTGACATAAACTCTTTTAATTTCAATTGAATTCCCGTAAATTCCTATGTGTTTTAATACTTTCTGTGAGTTATTATAACCATGCTATGACCTAGTTGGCCTGAAACGACGTTCTTCAGGCGTCGAAAATGTTATGACATTTGTCACCACAGACCTGCCGGTCTAACTGTTGCATTCAGTTAAGGTGTGGGTTTGTCAAACCCAATATAGATCTATATACAACTATCACACTCTCCCTCCAGGAGACTTTGGTTACAATACATGACTTATTGGTAAATGTGAAGCGAATGTCTCACAAAGTCTTTAACAAATTTACTTGTAATGTAATGAAAATCCCTTTTTGTATAAATGTACCCTTTTGTATGAGTGTGTAATGCAATGTATCATAAAATATACCTATTATAGCTTATCAAAACAAGGGTAGTAATGGTAATGTACGTAAACTATATTCAACGTAGTTTATTCAATTGTTTGAGTAAAATGGATATACTTTGATTATAACAATTTTGTTATCCTTTATATTTCATATGTATGTATATATCAAAATCCATTTATTAATTGATGCATGTTTATATACCAAGACAAAATGTCATTTAATTGCAATAACATACATTCTCATAAAGATGTACACCTTGCTCAACATGTTACAAGGTGAAATGAAATAGTTAGTATTTTTCTGTTAGTAACAATCCTATTACTGTTATTAGAAAATTTATAAAAATTTCATAACAGATCCAAATCAGAATCCGCAAGTTCTGGGAATTTGAAAAATGAGTCTAGTTTGTTCATAAATGTTTCCATGATTTTCAGTGACCTCCAACTTAGGAGAAAACATCCATAAACACAGACTGGTCCAGATTGGCTCTTGAAATGATAGGTAGTTTTGTAAAAATCACTATAAATTGTAGAAAAATCGTATGGAGATGTGCAAGTAGGAATTTTAAAGATAAAGACTTGAACTATTTGAACCTAGTATAGTTTTGAAAACTAAAATGTTTAGGTTTACCAAAACAGTCCATGAATGGAATCCAACTTTTCTAGTGAAAGTTGTTAGAAGTATTTAGTGATGTTCTTGGTTATTTAACTTATATCCCCCCTTAAAACTTAAGAAAATACAAAAATTTAGGGGTATGAACTCACATTGAATGATTTCAGTAGATGAGTGTTGGAGATGAGAAGTGTTCAACTCAAGAGCACTTGAAGGATTACTTTGAAAATTCAAGAATCTAACACAATAATGATGGAGTTTGTGTAAGCAATCAATGATTTGAGTAAAATGAAATGTAATTATCACAAGGAGGATGAATTATACTTACCAAGAGTGTAAGAAAGCTTGATGATCAGCCTTGAATCTTGAATTTTTAGGGAGAGAATGTGAGGGAAAGTTGTGTTTGATATTTTGGTAAAATGAGAGAAATGAGTGAAGTGAGGAGTGTGGAGTGATGTTCCATCTCTAATAATGTGGAAATAGGTTGGAAATGATTGAAAAAGTACATTGACAAGACCTTGGTATGCTAGGAGGAGTGGCTGGTCAAGGAGTGGATGTGAGGGGTTGCTTGTGTCATAAGCTAAAGGAAAGTCAACACTCCCCCTTTATTACTCCAACCACTAAATCATGGATAAGATTTGCATTAAAACATGAATAATTAAGACATATGGGTCTTAATATGTTAAAATAAAGTTTTGGGTGAAAATCCCACTTTAAAATGATGAA